TGAACTTAGAATATCCTGCTCTTGTGTCTCAGGTGTATCCTCACTGCTACTTATTGCTAGTGTTTTTTTTTTTTTCAGTGGATTACACATGTGAAAGCCATTGTTGTTTTCTTAAATGAGATGCTGATCACCTGAAACCATGAATTTTGATTTTTTTTAAAGATTGGATACTTATGTCGTTACCTTTGCCTGTTAAATGCTTATGGAATTCCTTCCCAAACACAGCTAAAATGATTGGTTCTTCACAAACTGAGCGCTTTGCCTGGTTGCAGTCATGTGAGAGCTTTTAAGTCCTTGGCGTCTTGTAGACGCAGACATGCCTGTGAGTGCCTGCCTCTGAGCTCTAGCATTTCTCTGAAGGAAGGGAGTGCAAAAATGCAGGTAGCAGATTGATGCACTGTGTAATTCTTATTCTGTATGTCTTATGTGGACAAAGCACACAAGGAATCCTGAAGCCTTTTTTCCTCACGCTAACACTAATGAATCTACCAAGCCCTCCCTTCCTCTCACTTGGTCTTTGTGAGTGTTTCATGATCTATTTATACACAGGAGTTTAAATAATTAGAAGATGGCTGTATTTTCAGTTACTTTAAAATTCAATTAAGTTGCTGAGAGGACAATGTGACCCAGTTTCCTCATGTCACCATTTGAAAATCGCTGGTAAATGAGTGTTTTATTACCAGAGAAATACTTTTCCTTTTAGTGTAGAGAGAAAGGGCGATCCAGTTTGCAATGATTGTTGAGACATCTTTTTTCATACAGTTGCATATTCAATGTACAAGAAAATTTTAATTGCCTGTTATTAATTCATAATTAATAAGCTGAGTGATTATATAGAACCATAAATGTACAAGTCAGAATTCTGATAAAATCCATTATCCTGTAGCTCAGAAGTATAAAATACTCAGTAAGGCCACAGATGGCCTAATGTGAGTTGCTCTGCCACGTGGCAAACACAGTAGGTCTTGTCTTGCGTAAAGTTACGCAGTACCTAAGGGGTTAGCAAAAAGAGTGGTAGTAGAGCACAGTGAGGGAAAGCAGACTGGGAAGATGTGACTAGAAGTGATAGAGCCTTCGGCTATTTAATATGCTAGATATTTATATGCTGCTTCTCTTGCTATTGGAGGAATTTGCAAATGGATTTTAGGGGTCTTGAGAGGAAGCGATGCTTAGTCTTCTGTAAGTCATCTTTGGAAGCAGCATCCTGCTGTGAGATTTTGTTGTTTTATTTTATTACTAAGGTGGGTTGGTGTCCCTTTTACTCCCACGTGCATGTTGTCCTTCGGTCAGGTTTCATGGGAGAGCACCACTCTCCATCTGTTGAGAGTCTTCGCGTAAAAACATTGCTCAGCCAAGACTTCCTCTCGGAGCATGAGGTTACCAGGGCACAGCACAGTCCTGAAACCCTTGTGTCTGCTCTGCCAATTGGACCTGTTTGTTTAATTAAATTCTTTAGAAGTTGCATTGTGCGCTGCTGTCCTCTGAGGAGACAGTTGCACTGCCTGCTTCTGAGACATTGCAATACTTGTATTAGAGGAGTTTTGGGGTTTGTTTTTTAAAAAGGGACTTCCCCAGGCATAATGCAGGTGCTGTGAAGAGCTTGGAGAAGCATCACTGCTTGCTTTCTTCATGAGTGCTTGGAGGAGATTGGGCAAACACAGGAGCTTTTACGAGGGACCCTTGATCTAAGCAGACGTCTGACCATATGACTGTGCCCTCTGTAGTGCCGCCTCAGAGACATGACCTACTCGGCCCCGATTACGGTGGACATTGAATACACAAGAGGCAGCCAGAGGATCATCCGCAATGCGTTACCCATTGGCAGGTAAGACCCCATGGCAAGCTTCTGGTATCGGTTTTTATTTGCCATCTGTTCCATGTGGTGGGAGAAGATATTACTCTAAAGCAAATGGAAGTGTAACTTGTTAGAAGAGAAAGTGCAAACGGGCAAATCTTGTCCAACAGCTGTGCAGGATATGATTGTTAGGTTCTGTTACATGGTGCTGTTTTGCCAAAGCTTTTGGAAACTTGCCTGCTCCCCAAGAAGAATGAATTTAATGATAGATGTGGTCTGCATTTCGATGGAGATAAAAACAAAGACAAAAATACATGAAAGAGTGCTACAGCTGCAAGTTACATTATTGCAAAATGTAAATAAACATTTTTGCTTTATTATCAAAGGTATGTTTTCTCGCTCTTTGGTACCTAACTTGCAGAGATATGTCTGTGGAAGCTGGATGGTAAAACCAAAGAAGCAAGTTGTTTGTTCTGCCAGATGAGGTTAAACTCTTCTTTAAAATTGTTCTATTTTAGAGCTGTGACTGAGAAAATTTTGAGTCTTTTTTATTGTTATGTTGTTTTTCCAAAGCCTACCGGATCAGTTGAGAGTATCAGTATTGTGATGGGCATCTAATTTCTTCAAGAAAGGTGTGCCCAAGGGAGGAAAAAATAGTCCTAACCATGCCAAAAAAGGCAAAATAGGTTCTAGTGTTTGCTGAATGCCCAGTTCTGTTTAAATGTGGCAAGGATATCTTTTTGTAGACAAGGGTCCTTAAAGTCCAACCTGCCTGACTTTAAATAATCGTGGCCTGCCAAGATTCTCTAATCTTGCTAACATGCCTGTGCGTGTTAGCAAAAGTAGCATCCTAGCAGGAAAGAGAAGGAAGATACATAAGGAGCTACTTTTTGTGATGAAGTTTTGAGTGTTCATATCAAAAAAAAGTGCTCTGAATTTGTCAAGAGAAAATGATAAACATCCATGCAGTTATAAAACGGAGCTCCAGTGGCTGTGGTAATACTGTAATGTTCTAAGACATTTGTCATAGGACATAGATCTTGATGGCTGTGCTTGCTGTGGGTGCCTGGACTAGCCTCATAAAAGCAACTAAGTCTGCCAGGAGATGTCCAATTGCAATACTCCTTTTCAAAATACATGTTCAGTGCTGTAAGATGGGATTAAAGAAAAATAAATTCCTTTCAAAAGCTTACCTGTGTTTTAAACCTTAAACATTCTCCGTGTTCTTTCCACCCTGTTCAGCAGAGTTACTGTTCTGGATTTGACTGTTCATATTTTTCTATCTCAATCTAAAATACAAGAACAACTGTGCTTTTCTTGCAGAATGCCAATAATGCTGCGTAGCTCCAATTGTGTTCTTACGGGGAAAACGCCAGCAGAATTTGCCAAGCTTAATGAATGTCCTCTAGATCCAGGTAAATCTTTACCCACATTCTTTTATTCCTATTGTGCTTTGAGCTTTAAGTGTATTTCTGCTAAGAGATGTTGAGAAATGTATTTGTGTACTGATGGGTCATACGATAAGAGAAGTGCTAGTCCTTGGGAAGAGGGGATCTTTCAGAGAGGAGCCTTTATTTGCCCAGTCCTGTAAAGTAAGGAGACATATGATAATACTTGAAATATAGAAGGAGATGAAGGGTTATTACAATCCTGCTTTTGCAGCATGCACTGAGCATGTACTGTGCTAGCTGGTGCTGGTGGGATACTGTGACATGAAGTGCTGTGCTTGAGGAGCTTTGAATGGAAGGCTGTGTTTTGAGAGAGGAGTTTGACATGGCACATGTACAGTTTTCTCCTTGACTTAGATACATTTTTAAAAGTAGATACTTGTATTTCAGTGTGTTAATGCATGATAAATTTCTCTCTGGAGGGCTGGTGAGAGCAAGTCAGTAATTATGGAAGCCTTGCTGTCTTTATTTGATAACAAGCATCAGAAAGGAGCCAGTTCTTTTTCAATGTGTTAATTACATACTTTCCTGGCAGGTAATATTTTTCCCAGATTTGTAGTACTAACAATTTTATAATACCTTTAAATAAATAACCAGAAAGCTTTGGAGATTCAGTTCTGCTTGAGAGGTCTTTCTGTCCCTTTTCTATTCTATCCAAGTACTTCCCAAAGTCTTAGATCCCAAATGCCAAATGTGAGCCTGGCAATCTGCTGGAACGTTTCCCTAGTTACTACAGGTTCCAGACAGAGTTTGTCCTATACTCTTTCGAGGCAGAACTTATTCTCCTGTTTCACCCTTTTAAGTATTTGCAGTTTATATTTTAGTAGTTGATATCCAAAGCATATTGAAAGAGGTGAGTTAAGGTACATAGGTACTGACATGCACATTGTTCTTTTCTGTTATATAGGTGGATATTTCATTGTTAAAGGTGTTGAGAAAGTCATTCTTATTCAAGAGCAGTTATCCAAAAACAGAATCATTGTGGAAGCTGATAGAAAAGGCACAGTTGGAGCTTCTGTTACCAGGTATGAGAAATTCAAGCAATTACATGATGAAGAATGAAGCTGTGCAAACTGTGCATCTGACATACTGTTTCGTGGGTTTTTGTTTTCAGTTCCACTCATGAGAAGAAGAGCAGAACAAATATGGTTGTGAAACAAGGAAGGTTTTACCTGAGGCATAACACCCTGTCAGAAGATATTCCTATTGCTATCATATTTAAGGTAATACAGGTTTGTCTCCAAAAAATTCTGAATTGTAGTTCAAGAACGAGGATCAGCAGCAGTTCTCAAAATCTAGTATGTACAGAAGGACATAATAGGGTTGAGGAAAAGAAAGCTATTTTCTGCTGGGAAGTGGTGTCTACAGCAAAGAGAAGCAAGCACCACATTTTTCTGCAGAGAGAGGACTGCTGTGTCAGAGGGATGTGTGCTACCCCCTTACCGCAGTGCCAGGTCCCTTTGCAGTGCTGCGTGTGTTTCTGTTGCAGCAGAGAGTCAGAAATCTTTTGCTTTCTTTGGCTTTGAACTGTCTTACAAACCTGAGTTAAGAATCTTTTTTTGTTTGTTTGTTTTTAAACTTTGACACTACTGAGTTGCTCAACACCTTTGATTTCAGACCTAGTTCTGCATGGCATAGCCACGAGCTGTTTTATACTTCAGTTCCAGTTATAGCCATGGGCTAAACTCACACCTTCTTGGAAAGTATTGTATCTCCTAGGCCTAGTCCTAAATCCATTGAGATTACTGGAATAGCTTGCTTTTCTTGGAACTTCAGTTCCTTCCCCTGTGAACGAGCGCTGTCTTAGTCCTGCGCTTGAGCTCTCTCAAGTCTCGGATTCCTTGTCGGAATTAGGAAGCTTCTCAGTATCTTGAGCATGGCAAATGCCTTGAATTGACATCGTAGCTTTGAAGCAACCACCAGTGGGGCTGCAGAAAAGTCAGTGCAAAAGGCACCCACGGAGTGTGAGAATATCTGCCCTGCAAGCAGAGCTGGTTGCGGCGTCGCCTCCCTCACTGCCTGGAAGCCTGGCAGGGCGCTCTCTGTCACCCCCAGCTTCTCTCTTTCACTTAAGCTGGCCGTGCTTGCGCACAAGCGTGGTCAACCCACAGAGGGGCTCCCCCGGCTGCCGGTGGGCCTGGTCGCCACCTCGTGACCCGCCTGCTGGTGGCACCAAGTGCCCAGGCTGGGAAAGGTGTCGGTGCTGTCAGGCTGCAGCAGAGCAGAGCAGGGCCTGTGCTGGGACCTGTCCTTCCAGGAGAAGTCAACCCTGTAGTTCTCCCTCCGTCTGAACTGTTCTGCTTGTGTGTTTTCCGTTATAGCAAAGGAAATGCTGGGAGGGGATGGATATTTGCTTGAGGAAGTGGATTGCCAGGAGAGGGCAGCACTTGCTCGCAGCATCTGTACGGTTCCTGCCGGCAGTGCTGATGTGTTGGGCTGAGCCAGCCACCACACACTGGTTTTCTGTATTGCCCAAGCTATTTGGCTACACGAGAGCTGTAAGAATCACTCTTTTTTTTTTTTTTTCTAGGAAATGCTTTCTTTTTGCAAATAGCAAATAGATAAACAATGGTTGGGTATAGACTTAACACTAGTCTCTTCAAGTAGTTGGAGATCATCTGTTCTTCCCTACCAGTGTTAAAGGAGGTTGAGAAGTGATATGTGGACAGAAATACACTTGAAAAGTGTCAGAGTTAAATTCATAACTTTAAATTCATAAGTTTTCCTGCTGCAGAAAGGTGTTAATGTGAATCTTAATGCAGGTACCAAAGCACTTGAGCTCAAGCACCAAGCAGCTGGATTCCACCTTCACTCACAGACTTTCATTACATGTTGTCACCCCCTGCTGGTACAGATAAATACCTGCCTGCAGGAAAGCTACTGTTCTGGGTTATTAATCTGAGGAGGTTCCTTTTTGTTTTTTCCTAGCAGCATTGTAATGACCACTCGATCCTGTTCTGCCAGCGCTTGCTGTAATTTTCCCTTTGCCTACCTATATCCTTCATGGCCTATATAAATGTTGGTTTTTATTATTTATTTAATACTGTACAATGAGCTCCTGACAGTTTCTGTAGCAAAATAGCTTGATTTGTGGTGATTTAATCTAATAGGGAATTAGCCTCCCTTGTTTTAACAATTCAGAATGCACCATCTTGGACCAGCACTTAATTATCCTTGTGGATGATAATTGTCCTTGTCTTTCCTTTCAACGACTTGTTAATTTGAGATACCTTCTATCCACGTCTGATGACATTCTAACTGCAAAGGAAAAATCCTGGATAGCCTTTGCAATAGATTGTCAGGCAGATGTGAACTTCCTACCTGTATTTAACTAGTATAAGTGAAGCTACAGAGTCTGTAGTCCTGTAAATTGAAAATCCCAGGGATCTGTGTTTAGCCTCAGCTCTCTCACATGTCAGTATTATATGTAGGAGGTAAGTTGGAAAAGCAAGGAGAAGAATTTAGTTCTGCTGAGGCCCAGGCCTGAGGAAATTCTTCTTTATACCTTATTTCAGTGCCTATGCCGTGCATCCATGGGGCATGGGTCTTTCTTGTTACCAGTAAGTGCTCTTGTGGTTGTGGTTTAGATTGTATCACTGTGCATGTCTGTAAGGGCCAAACTTAAGTTTCCACACAACCTTAATTCTGGCATTTTAGGTTGCCTTTTCATCCTTCACCTGTACAGTAGTAATATGTTGTATAAATTGAGATTGAAAACCAAACTGAGGAAACCATGACAAAAATCCATTGCTGAGCACTTCCTACCAGGCGTCATCCCACAAAGTTCCACAGACCTTTTTTGACTTGGCAGAGAGGTGGATTGGTGCCTGCTACCCTGCACCTAGGGCAGCTGGAGGCAGCAGTTTTGTCAGGGACTTGCACAGCTCTGAGAGCTGCTAGGAGAGGTTGGTCAATCTTGCGTTCTCTTCCTAGTGCCATTGTCGATAAATGACCTGATGTTCTTTTGGATTACTTGAAAAGTACAACCAAAACAGTTCTTAAGGTGTTTTCAGTTGATTTGCAATCCCTAGAGACCTTTGTTTTAGCGGTGTTGAGTTTCATTGGTGCATGGATCATGTGAACTGTGTGCAGTGTTTTTTTTGAATATTTCAAACTGAGGGAAACTGTGAGCTGCACGTGCTTTACTTGGGGGAGCTTGGGCAGTTTTAGCTAGTAATGAGTGTTAGGGGAGGGATGGAGTATTTGTGTGGTCCCGAAGGATGTTTCTATTTTGAAAAACATCAGGGTTACACAAACGAGATTACAAACCTGCTGCTTTTGCAGTGAGCTGCTGTTGTTTTAAGGTAGGAGTGATTTTTTTTGTTTTTGGTGAGTGTTCATAATTCAGTACATCTGAGTGGATAGTGAGACCCGAGTAAACGAAGGTTGCATGCTGTACAAAAACTAGCTGGGGAAGGGAGACTGATAACCAGCCTAGAGGAGATAAGGTGTTTTATAACCTAAGTCATTGGGAAAAGTGTCTAGTTTAAGAAAGAGCTTTTGTTTGACCCATATGGGGGAGCTACAAGGGACATACTCTAGGACCTGCAGCAAAAGACTTGAGCTGCAGGTTGAGTTTTGTTTTTCAAAACCTGTGTTAGTGTTGGAGCTGTTAAGATGCAGCTCCGGAGGATCAGCTGAATGGTGGTCTTGCTGGATCCGCAGTTACAGATTCCCATGGCTGCAGTTTCATAGCTCATATTTGTTGAATTATGAAAGCTCCAGACCAGTTCTGCCTGTGACGTCAACCCCGAACTTCCCTGACAGCTTTTTAATCCAGTTATGTGTCTGTGTCCGTTCCGTGCTTCAGCCGGAGAGGCTGCAGAGCCGCATTCTAGGGAAGTGCCATGGAAACGCCCCAGCATCATTAAGATCTGGTCTGGGAGGAAGAGCTGCTCTGTCCCGCTCTTTTTGTTGCACAAACGCACACACATGTACACACAGAGTCACAGAATGGTTGTGGTTGGAAGGGACCTCTAGAGATCATCTAGTCCAACCCCCCCGCTCCAGCAGGGACACCCAGGGCACGTGGCACAGGGTGGCATCCAGGCAGGTTTGGAAGATCTCCAGGGAAGGAGACTCCACAGCCTCTCTGGGCAGTCTGTGCCAGGGCTCTGTCACCCTGACACACACACACATGCACACCCCCCCATATGGATATCTTGGGAAGCAGGAGCCTCCCCGGTCCTCGGAAGTGGTTGACCCTAGTAGGCTGTTTTCTCCCCCTTAAACTCAGAATGGTCTGAATTTTCTGGATGCTTTGGTTTGTTGCCCTTAGGTGCGTTGATCACTTGCTTTCCTGCCACGCTCTGCAATATTCTGCTCTCATTTCCTTCCTTATCCTTTCATTGCTTCTGTTAGATTATCTCTTGCAACATCTCCATCCCTCCTGTAAAATTATCCCTTTGCAATGTCTCCTTCCACACCAAAATAAACAAGACAACTTGTCTCATGCCCTGTTTTTCTGTTAGTCCCTTTCTCTCAGCTTTGCCCTAGGACGATCAGCTCTTTAAGCACAGGTCCCTTTCCTACTTTCCATGTCCTGAATGTTCCTGTAACACAAGCCAAATCCCGGGAGTACCTTGTTGCTATCCTAGCAGTGTTGCAGACTAATTCTGGAAGGCTTTTTTTTTTTTTGTTGCTATCCTAGCAGTGTTGCGGACTAATTCTGGAAGGCTTTTTTTTTTTATGGTGGTGCAAAATCAGGGTCTAGCGTCCAAGGAAAGAAAGCGCTGTGATAACAGATCTCTCTGATACCAGTGTGTGTCTCTTGTCCTAGTAACGTGTGCAGGTGAATTTGTGTGTGCAGCTGTATTCGAGTTTGAGAATACAGAGGGCAGTAAATGAATTTACTTGTGGTATATTGTATCAGCCCATCTTCTTCAGATATTCACCTAAGGTTTTAGTGATTACTCCTGGCTAATTTCTCCTAATTTGCACATATCAGCCAGTATGACAAATATTTGCCGGTATATCCCAGCCTTTCCTGCCATGCAGAAATTGATAATTCCCAAGTGGCTTTGCTGCTGCAAATTGAAAGTACAAATCCACGCTGCTGTAATGATATGTCCGAATCTCACCTTGTTTCCATCAGATTTTTATTTGGAGAATTCATGAAGTCATAGGAAATCATCATCCTTCTTTAGTTTGCTGTGGCTTTGTGTTTTTAAATAAACAAGTGTAGTGTAACTGCAGGTTGATTTTTATCCTTTTCTTCGCTATTTACATGACTGTTATGGTCTGGCTGCCATCCCAAAGTTAACCCAGTGCAAAGAAACAAGGTGGTGTCTTATCAACTGGTGTTGGATGTCCTTTAGGTAAACGCATTCCAAGGATACATGCCCAGCAGGACGACACAAAATTCCCTTAATAAAATGGTGCTCTTTTCTGGCATAAGTGCTATGATAGAATCAGTCCAGTTGTGGACCTTAAACTGTTTTGCTGGTCAGTTCTTAAGTCCTAGATACTTGGAAAACGTGTGTTGTGAAGCCTCTGTGCTTCTGTAGACTTCTCATTTCATGAGTCTTGCTGTCAATTCATGATAGATTTTTCCAAGTTCTCTGCTGGGTCTTTTAGATACTGTGCAGCCATCTTTAAAGAGGTAAGTAGGTAATAGAAATACTCGAAAAATAGATATCTGACTTACAGGAGTATCACTTGTTTGAATTCCGCTGGTGAAAGGTACCTTGAGGTCACTGGGGGTGGCTGTGTGGTGAGGATGAACCGTGAGTAAGAGCAAGAAAAAGACTGTGGAACTGCGGCCTGTGTTTTGCTCTGAAACCTGGGTTCTCACCCTGTTGTAGATGTGCATGTCTCATAATTTCTAATAAACCACAAGGTGAAGGGACAGAGTTTTAACTTGGACAGAAATTCAACCATTTCTTTTTTTTGAAAAAAAAAGAAGAAAAAAAAGAGGCTGAATGTTTGAGAATCGGAGCAGCAGAGTTTTGCAGAGGGAGAACATTAGATAGGCGTTAAGCAAAATAACACCCAGTGAAGGTAGTAAAAAAGGAAGGTGTTTGTGCATTTTTGAGGAAAATGTGAATTTTTGGGGCACGGCCAGCTTTTAATGAGAACCAGAATGCTAGGGTCTACATAAGCCATTATTTGCAATGGTCATTGTGGCTGGTGGTTTAGAGAATAATATGAATGCAACCATAACTTCCTCACAAACTTCTGAGAAACGTATTACAACTCAGGCAGCAGAGGTTTAGTGAGATTATTCTGTTTCTTGATATGGCAGAGCTCCAAACAAATGTGTGAAGGGGGGAGCTTTAGCACCATCTGGAATCCACAAAGGCCTTCACTGCTGGCTGCCACCTTGAAACACTTACTGACAGAGAGATTTTTCTAAACCTGTTAAGCACTTTCTTAGTTTATTAAGCTTTTTCCTCAGCATAAAGTCTAACAAGGTGTCCAAGGATCAGTGAAATAATAGAATGGCTTTCAAGTGCAATTGTGTAGTGAAGTCATCTTCTAAATGCAAAGAGCTGCAAAGGAGGCAGACTGTAAAAAATTCTCAAATAGGACATTCTGTATCACAGACAATTGAGTCCACAAAACTGTTTGTGGTAAGAGACCATGTATAATCCTTTAAGTAATTTCATCTTCCCTTATTTATTGTAGATTATGAACTGGGTTTTGTTGTTGCGCGTCTGAGTTCACTATTACCTGATACTTATTTTTCATAAGAGAACACATAACATTTAGCTTATGTCGGTGAAGAAAAAGACACTTTCCAAAGAGTATGTGTGTGTTCCTGCTGCTTATCGAGATTCCCATTTGGGGTTCTTCCGCATCTAGAATGTGTGCTGCCAGTGCCAGATGGCACCGTTTCTGAGAGAAGAACTAGCTCTTGCTTAGTAGTACTGCTCACAAACAATACCAAATTAGCATAAGCAAATGTCAGTGAGTTAACATAAAGCCTGTGCTATTTCTGTCTTTTCTTCTTTTTCTAGGCCATGGGTGTTGAGAGTGACCAAGAGATTGTGCAGATGATTGGCACAGAGGAACATGTGATGGCTGCGTTTGCTCCTAGTCTGGAAGAATGCCAAAAAGCTCAGATTTTTACACAGATGCAGGTGTGTCTTTTTCACATGGCCAGTGGCTGTGACCTCTAAAGAGGATGGGGACTGAACACTTGCCTGTGGATTGCTGACACAGAGGCTTTGTGTTTTAAGGTTTTCTCCTGGGGGTTGTTTTAAGTTAGTTTAAGAATAAAGTGGTGAAGCTGGAGGAGCATACGAAAGTATGAGACATCCAGGAAAGTAGGAAAACAGAAGTATAGAAGTTACCCTGTGCAAGAAATGCCAGATGAAATGAAAAGAGAGTTAGCTGTTTGGGAAGAAGGTGAATAGATGGAAAGAAAAATCTGTTGTCTCTGACATAGGGGGCATGGTTTTCCTTTCAGATTCAAACCTCCTGTGTGGAGCTAGAGCATTTCATTAACTAATTTGACCCTGAATTCAGCTGCTTCATTCCCTTCCTCGGGAAAACTGATAAGAGAGTAAGGATGTGTTAATGACTACAAAATACTCTTAAGCATAGATGTGACTGCCACACCGTAGCATTTTTGCCTGGGTACAGTTTGCTATTGCATTACACCTGCATGAAACTCAGCAGGTGTACAAAAGAATTGGAGATGAAAAGTCAAAGGAAAGAAACTAAATGCTTTTGCAACTCCTTATATGTCTGCAATCCCTTTTCTTTTAGTATTGTAGTAATCATGCTCTTTTACCATACCCTATTCCAGTCCACTGAACATCCATCAGTTGTGTCAATTGTCCTTTTTGTTTATTTATTTATTTAATCATCATCGCTTATATATTGGTGTTTTTCACTTTGTCTGGAGTTTGTATCATCTCTGGTTAGCGGGAGTGCATTTATTGAAGAATCCATACATCTCTCTCTAACATGTGCATATTTCTATGGGTAACAATTCTGATACTAACTCAAGTTAATCAATCCACTTGACAGGCATTAAAGTACATTGGAAACAAGGTACGAAGGCAGAGGATGTGGGGTGGCCCAAAGAAGACAAAGATGGAAGAAGCACGAGAGTTGCTGGCATCAACTATTCTGACACATGTTCTTGTACGTAATATTCATTTAACTGGAGTAAATCTGCAGACTTATTTTCTAACACTAGGCACTATCTCTGCTACTTGAGTCCATGGCAGAAGTGCTGTAAGTGCCCCAAATTTTTGTGTACAGAAAAAAAAGCGTTGGCCCTGTGGTAGGGCTCAGCAAAGCTCTTATGAAGTTTTGCAATAGAGGAGAGAAAATCTAAGGTAAACAGTGAAATGCCCTTGAGTCTGATGATGGTTTCAAGCCCACTGGGGTTGCAGGTGTGAATTAGTGCGCATTTTTCCACTGTCATCCTCTTGCCTGCATTAGGACATCATGGCATAGGAGCACTCACATTGTAATTCTTCGGGGCAGCTTTGGTACCAGCTAGGGTCAGGTAAAAATGAAATATTCACAACAGGAATACTTCTATTTAATGAAAATTTGAAAGTGTTCTTTCTTACAGTCTTTTAAGAAATGGCCAGACATTGTATCACTTGCATATGGCATCAGACCTTCTGAAAGCAGAATAGGAGCTGATGGTCCTGCAGGAGTTGATCAGGATGCAGTAGTGGTGGGTTATGAGTGAAATTGTCTCTGATCTTCCTCGCAGAAGAAGGTTCCTACAGTACAAGAGCATAATATTTTTCCTGGAGTGTTAGGAAGACTGCAAAGTGTGGGTAACACTTGTTACCCATAACATAAAGGAGGGAAAAGTACAAATTTGGTAAAAATATCAAGTGATGAGACTGTTGCAAATCCTAATTGGTAAAGATTTGCAACTCTTGGAAAATGAGCAGGAAAGAGATGGTCCCTGTCACAGGATCATGCAGGTGTTTGTAGCCTGTGTGAAGAGAAACTCTTCTGTAGGGCAAAGTCAACACAAACTTTATGAAGTGAGTTTTCTTGGCAGGGGAATATATTTTCAATTGCTTTGTAGCTAAAATAAGTAAATCATCCTCAGATTAAAGATAAAAAAGTGGATTAAATCAAAAATAGCCTGAATGTTTTTGAAGTACTCCACCTTTGAACTGTTTATCATCCTATATGTTTTTTCTCCATAGTCAGGCATTATTAGCTGTAGTTGGGACCTTACTTTCATGACGTATGTCTTTATTCTGATTTATTCTCTGTTTACGTCTGTTTCAATTTCACTGAAGCATATCCCTTTCAGGGTTGTTTTTTAAGAAGATAGAGTACACAAATGCTCTTCTTAACTCTTCACTCAGGCCAGAGTCCCCTGTAAGTGTGTGTCTTTGCCAGGGTAAGTCCTGAGGAATTGCTCCTGGAACATCAGTCTCTTCTCTTTTTTGCTTGCAGGTAAAGGAATTCAATTTTCGTGCCAAGTGCATTTACACAGCAGTGATGGTGCGCAGAGTAATCCTGGCCCAAGGAGAAAATAAAGTCGATGACAGAGATTACTATGGAAATAAGCGACTGGAATTGGCTGGGCAGGTGAGTTTCTGCTTTTGTGCTAAGGGCTCTTTTGAGATTTTGATAGCATCTACTTTTAAAAGACTCAAGAATAAGGAGCACCACTGTCTTCTTGACTGAAGTTTTCCCTCTCGTTTTATTGTCTTTTATTGGCGTTTTCTGTATTGACTCACGGATATGCTTTCCCTGACTAGGACTAAGTTGTATCCTCACTTCTATGCAGAAGTACTGGGCTCACTATTGTGCCAGGTAAAAGGACAGAGCAGGGTAAATATGGCATCAGTTTTTGTTCCTTCTTGACACTATTAGTGCCATCAAGATAGTCCTAAAATGCATTTCCTGATGTCCCGTACTTTAGATGCAGGAAATGTAGCAGATTTAAAAAAAAAAAGAATTTTCTACAAGCTGCAAGAATAAGGTCTCTGCTTACATGGCTGTTAACAACCTAAGTTTTCTTAAGTTAACTAGGAAAGGTTTTAAGTATAGACGATCATCATAGCCAAGGCATTGTGTTTTCTTTCCCACATCAAGAAGAACTGTGCAGGGAAGGTTTGTAACACTTACTTAAGAGTAATTCTGTCTCCCTTGTCATATTTTAAATGTTCATTTCAAGCTGAAGGCTTGAACTCCTCATTCCACGTGTTATCAGTATAATACTAATTTGATGGGATAGCAGACTAAAAAGTGTGCAGAGATTTTATTTTGTCGTCTTCTAAATATTTGTGCTAGGTAAAGTTTGTGTACGTGAAATGGCCTGTGCTTTTTTTTTTTTTTTTTAATGCCAGTGTGTTCCTGGAATTAAAATCCTGTTGCTTTAAAATTGGAATAAAGAAAAAAAAGGAGGGGGGGCAGAGAAAGATTCCCCTGTGAGCAGAAAAACATAGCAGTCTAAACAATGTAAAGACATAAAAGGCATTGTGTTTATAAAAATGTGTGAAAACAATAGCTGCTAATTTCACACCCCATGGGACAAGAGAGTATGAAATGTGCTTTAGCTTTAGATAACAGAGTTGTATCCCCTAGCCAAGCTGGTTTACAGAGCTTTCTCTCAGTCTTTCTGCCACTAGAGGGTTGGCAGGCCAGGTGCCAGCTGAGGTGTTAGCAAAACCTACCGATTTCAGGCTTAATCTTTTCACCTACCTTTTCTCTTTCCTTAATGTGTTCATTATTTGCCGAGCATTACTCTGTTCTTTGTGCTCTTTTTTTTTCTTTTTTTTTTTCCCTTTTTTTTTGTTTCTAATGCAGCTTGCTTTGTATGGGTGAGATATGGAACAGCACCAAAATCCGGCACCCTGGAAAGCAAGGGATTTCTACCCTGTGACAAAAGAATACCGCCTTGACTTCAGAGATTGCCTAATCCCAGCTGTTCTGATAATATAATTAAGGCTGCCTAATGTCTTTAATTTTGCAACCAGTTTGTGTGAAAGGGAGAATTTGGCACTCTAAAGGCTTAAACACTAAATAGCAATCTCAAGGCACCTAATTAGAATTCTCTGACATTAAGCTAATTGGTGAAACTGTATTTCAGCAGCTTAACTTCTTTATTAATTTTTCTTAGGATTTTCAATGAAAATCAATTGATGAGCTGTCAGTATTTTTTTTTCTTAAATATAATTTGCTCTCCAGTGCTCCTGTCTTAAGCAGGCTGAAAGGCCCTGGACTAACTATGAAATCCCTTGAATATTATCACTGGCATTCCATCCCTTTTCTTTAATCACTTACTCTTGACCTAAATAATGTGGTTATTGTGAGACTCTGCCTTGCAGAGAGTCAGAGCGCTCGCAGACAGGCTGTGAGGGAAAATGGCAAAGTCTGACGCGTCTCAACTCAGCAAACATTAGCAAGTTGGTGTGCTTGGCGTGTCAGATGTTTTATTAGTTTAGAGAAAAGGAAATAAGGGCGGGTTGTCTTACTCGCTACAGCCTGTAGAAGTAGGAGGCTGTGGCAGTTTTACAGTCAAGAAATCAGATGTGAAAGTATTATCCTGTACAATTTCATTTTATTAGATGTTCCTTTAAGTCCTTCTCTGAAACCCGTAATGATAAAATATACACCATGATTAATTTCCACACAGTCTAGCTCTTAAATAACAAGATTATCAGCCATCTAAGAGCTGTGCACATCTCTTCCTTCCTTTTACTTTTTGTCCCTTGTTTGCAACACATTCTTCAACCTAATTTTTGGAGACTTCTGTTTGTTCTCCTTCCTGGCTTTGGAAAGTGATGAAATGATGGAAGATAAGAAGGTTTTTTAGAAGAATGGGTTGTTGCTCCCCATTTAAGTTAGAATTTTGCAGTTAAGCTGTTCTTTGACATCCGTGAGGGACAAGGTGGCAATCAAGTATGTCTTTCCAGATTACTTCTTAAGAATAGGCTCAGACTTGAAAAAAATTAAGTAAATCAGAGGTGTGCCATAACCTTTTACCTTTTCTTTTTTTGGTTATTTTCATCAAGTTACTTAAACAGAACAAATTAAAATATTTGCCTGTGTCACACAGGAGTAGTACTGGGCAGGAGGGATTGGTGGTGAGTTGACATGTAACATCCTTTGGATCTATGAGCGCTAAACTATCTCGGTGCCCATTTGTGCAGAGTCACTACAGGGCAGCAGTCAAGCTGGATGCTTCCAGAAGGACTGGCAGAGTAGATTACATTAAAAAAAATATATATTGTGAAAAGTTCAATGTTTGTTATCATTTTCAGCCTCCATTCTTCCCTATTGATGAAGGACATGTGTGTGTTGCCTTTTCCTGAATACTGGAGTCCTCATTCCTGTTAGTCTCTGAGGAGATCACACAAGGACCCTCTTGCGCAGGGGCTTTTGCACCTCCCCTTTTGATCAGATGAGGGCTTTAATCCTTGACAGTTGCTGTGACTTCATCATTAGGTCCAATTTATGGTCTGCATCTCCAAATAATTTGGTTAGCCCAGCTGGGCAGGAGGATGGAAGAGAACAACTAAAGCTAGTGACCCAGCCTATTAATAGAGGCATTTTTAGACTTCCTCACATGTGAAGCTGTTGTAAAATAGCATTTCAGGATAAGATTACCACACTTTGGAGTTTACACTGCCCGCTTGCAAAACTAATCACTGTGAGCCCTTGTGTTTGCGTTAACATGATACATTTTAAATAGTTTGGGAAACTGCAGGGAGCCTGCAGGGAGAGGTTGGGCAAGTGGTGAAAGCAAAGCAAAATAGTAAATAAAAGATCACAACTTGTGTACCTTTTCCCTTTTATGGATGTTTTGAGAACTAGAGGTAATTAGTATGTATAGTAATATACGTATGCAAGAAAAAAGTGACTTAAATTATAGTGCTTTTAAAGATATGTATTGCTTTTTTTTTCCTTTTGGTGGTGGTGGTGTTTTGTTTTGTTTTCTCCAGTTCTACCTGTATGAAGTAGCTTCTTTGTTTAAGGCCATTGTGCAGGGCCCTGTTGGCCCCTTGTTTTAGGGAGCGATGTGGGAGGGTGCTGCAATTTGCAGATAGCAGCACTTCTGGAGAGGGTGGAAGAGCTCCCCATAGGACTCTGCATGGGGGGTGACTGCTTATCGCCACGTGGGGCCCTGCAGAAAGTAGCTGGATAACAGTTTATCTGAGCAAGGCAGCTGGCTACGTAACCTGAGACCTGCCCTGTCAGCTGTCAAGAGCAGAGGTTGTTGCTGAGCCAAAAATAGAGAGTCCCTTTTAGTTGTATCTGTGCAGAAGCTGTGGTATCTGCTCACCTGGTCCTGCAAGCCCTGCCCTGCTTCCCCCAACAGCCTCTCGCAGGGGGCCCTCTCGTGCGTTTTGAGGAGCCCCTGGGAGCTCAACTCTCAACAGGGTTGTGGTGCTGGGCATTTAAGGCATCTTTAACAAGTTGTGACTTTAGGAAGGAAGGGCTGATCCGCGGGATTCGTGTAAGGTGGGGGAAAACAGCTAATAAAAGGTAGTGTGGGTGCGGATGTGTGTGTTAGATGTTGCGAAGGAACGATCAAAGTAAACCAAAAAGAGATGAAAGAGTAGGCTTACACCGTTCTTTTTAGTATGCCTTTTATTATGATGCAAGTTCTATTGTATTGCACTTTGTTTTAATAAGGCAAAAAGCTCGCAAGTACGTGAGGTAAGAAATAAAGAAGAATCTTTTTTCTAACTTATCAGAAACATAAATTTACAAATATATCTGTTCGTTCGTTCTTTTTTTTCCCCCTGCATTTTCCAGACCTAGAGGAGTATCACTTTTCCTTTAATCCTTTTGTTTTGTATTTCCAGCTTCTTTCTCTTCTGTTTGAAGATTTGTTCAAAAAATTTAACTCTGAACTGAAAAAGATAGCTGACCAGGTAATCCCCAAGCAGCGAGCAGCTCAGTTTGATGTAGTGAAGCACATGCGTCAAGACCAGATCACCAATGGCATGGTCAATGCCATTTCCACGGTAAGGAATTTTGTCTACATTCTAGTATGTAAAGTTTTTTCACCGTGTTGAATGATGGAAAAGTGTGAATTTTGTTTTGATGGCTCCACTCGCTTTGGTCATGGAAGCAAATCTAAAATTAATAGTCTTCGTAGATGATAATTGCAAAAATCTGTATTTGGCAGTGCTTTAGGTCATTGCCTGAAGGATCATTACTATCAAACCACTTTTCATTTCCCCATTTGCCTCCTAGTGATGTTGAAGATGAAACAAGCAAATTTAGAATACGATAGTGTTTATATTTATCTAACTTGCTGTCTTCCAGGTTCTGCTTTCTTGTTTGGTTCATGGTATTTTTGTATTATCTGGATTTACCCAGGGTCAAGCTGTAATGTATGTCCAAAGGGTGTTTGAAAACAGTAATCATCTATCACAAGTGCAAAACATTTGAAAAGAAAAAAAGCTGAATTTTGAGCTCTTTTAAGATGACTGCATTTTTATTTGTATAATGAGAGAAAATTTGACAGACTATGAAGCACTTCTCTGCTACATGAATAGCTGATACTGACTTATTTAACATAGGGAGACCTGCTAAATGGCACGTTACTGCAACATTTTGTAGTAATCAAGCCTCAAAATATTTGTTTTGCCTAAACTTTGGCCAATGTCTGCATTTTAGCGGAATGGATATTTTCATGCATGCTGGCAGACAAAAACAAAAATAAAATTAATAACTTTGTCTCCTATCTTAACACATCGGTAGCACCAAATTGTTAGATGGTTCCTGAAATCTAGCTACGCGTTTGTAAACCACTTTGAAATCTGTGAATTTTTAAGAAATTAGATTAATCGAAGTATTTTAGTGGCTGGTAAAAATTGTGCAACTCATTTTTTAATCTTTGGAACTCGAGACAGCTTTTTTTGCTTAGCATGAGACTGAGATTTTTCTTCAGTTCTTGTAAACAAAATTAACTCCACAAACTGCATCCAAAACCACCAACAATCTGTTACTTACAAATCCCAATGTTAAAGCTTATCACTATTTAATTTTATGAGTGCCCCAAATGTAGTTAAATCTCTACAGTGCACATAACCAAAACAATTGACAGATTTGTTTCTCTAAATACTAGTGCTTCTTCTAGCTGGTGCCAGTTTTTCCATTTGGACTGACGGAGATAAATCTGCAAAGTATTCAGTACATACTGTAAAGTCTTCCTTCTTCCACTATCTTAGGACATGTTTTTTTTTCCTGCCACATAAGCAGTTAAACACCATCTGCTCTTACGCATTGAAAACAATTTGTCAAGAACAATGCCCAGTGCATACTATTCAGGAGATTAAGCAAATACCACAAAACTCATTCTTGGAAACAGCAATCTCCAATCTCACCAGAACGCTTCAGTGATAGCCTCAAAGAGCATGAAATAACTCTGCAGATTCCTAATTACAGCAGCATCCTGCAGAAGAATTCATACCACCGCTCTGTCAGCAGTGGTGTTGACTGTAGGCCTGGTTTTTGCCCTAGAAAATACCAGAGTCGCTCAGGCAGTCTTGGTACAGGTCTGACAGACATTTTGGTGCCTCCAGAATCTTGTGAAGCCCCTGAGACTGCAGCCCTTCACTCCCTAGGAGTTTATCATGGAAACATAACTCGGTGTCCTAGAACATTCTCCAACTTTTCTGTTCTCCTAATGAAAGCCCCAGTCAATAGTGGCATTGGCAGGCCTGAAATATGAAATCTCTGACATATGCACAGATCTGTGTTTCCTTGATGATGTAATCCTAGCAGAGAAGCTGGTTAGACATACAAAATCCCACACTGCCTCTGTGACAGGTCACACCGATGAGTCATTTTCCTCTGGATTCTTAAACCAAGGAACTTCAGGAAAGTATAGACAATTTTGATATCAAATTTCTGTAGCAAACACAAGTGTATTTCCTACAAAAAATCATGAATGAGGTAGAACTGAAACAGTTTATAGATTGCACTGTAAAAGTGTATTCCACACAAAGACCTCAATAAGGACATCAGGCCAGCTTTGGAGGGGAGGAACTTTTGAAGAAAAAGGAATGTCCACAGAGGTAAAACAGAAAAAAACTTCATTTAGTTCCCAAGTTGAGTATTGAAGTATCTGATTAGGGACAAATGATGAAGAATCTTTATGCAGTTGAATGTATGTTCTGATCCATAGAGCAATTGTTTAATTTAAACTTTGTAAAAATACATATTCTATCCTAGTATCTAATCACTAGCAGATTATATGCAGGTGGATAATTAGAAAGTTTTATATAAATTGGCAACATGTGTAGTACAAAGCTCCTCTAATGTCACGCAATCTAAAATACCTCAAAGATATGCAGTGTCCAAGCAAGGATAAACTGTTTCAAATTTTCTGAAATATTGATCTTCTACAGGGAAATTGGTCTCTGAAAAGATTCAAAATGGACCGGCAAGGTGTGACGCAAGTGTTGTCCCGCTTGTCCTATATATCCGCTCTGGGCATGATGACTAGGATCTCTTCTCAGTTTGAAAAGACAAGAAAAGTGAGCGGTCCCCGATCTCTGCAGCCCTCGCAGTGGGGGATGCTCTGCCCATCTGACACTCCTGAAGGAGAGGTAAAACACTTGTATTTTGCTGTTAGCATTTCTCTGCCTCCCCAGGGATAGAGGTACATTTTATGTTGAAGTAAATGGTCCTCCATCAGAGGAAGAGTTTTGCTGAGGAGGTTTTTGGATGCATTACCCTCAGTCTGATCTCATAACTCATTTCTGTTTGTGCACCCCATCTAATTACATTATATCTCTCCTTACTATATTGCCTTTTTTCTCTTACTGCAATGGACTGTCTGAAAACTGCACAGAAATCACCTGAGAGTGTTATAAAATAATAATATAATAATAGAAGAATTTTCTGTATCTTTTGGTATCTTGAGTCATACCAATTAACTCTAATAGCTTATATTTAATAGCATCACTTTTTGTCATAAAGTTTATGAATAATTAATATATTTAGTCATGTTTTATCTTGGAGAATTGTAAGCTAAGATTATGTATTGCACGTGTCCAAATTATCTCATACCGTTGAATTAATTTCCTTGGTTTTCTGTCTAAATTATGCAATATTCTGTTTCTAAGTAACTGTTAACACTGAAGAGAGAAATATAGGTTATAAATATTTGGATCATTTAAGAACTACAGTTTCATAATCTGTGCTTTTTACTAGTTCTTATATGTGAAAACATTACATTTCAGTGTGATTTAGAAAATCGGTTCCTTCGTCATTTTCAATAATGTTAATCCGTATCATTTTATTCACTTATGCTTGACTTTTTTAATGTCTCTCACAAATAGAGCAATTTGGGAAAAAATGTTGATAGTAATAATAGTTTTGCTTTAAAATAACTGGTGGACTTTTTATTATATTTTATTACAGGCTTGTGGTTTGGTTAAAAACCTTGCCCTCATGACTCACATTACTACAGATATGGAAGATGGCCCAATTATTAAGCTTGCTAGCAATCTTGGAGTGGAAGATGTCAACTTGCTCTGTGGTGAAGAACTCTCATATCCAAATGTGTTCCTTGTTTTCCTTAACGGTATGGAACTTTTTAGCAATCTGTCTCCATTTGGCTGTTGAGTGTTGGATGGTTTTTGAAGACTAACTCTCAGTTTTTGAAGTGTGGTGAACTTCAGATGTGTTTTTCCATGTGAAGATAACTTCAACAGTAAATATTTTGACAGAGTTAGATAGGGCAGACAGGCTGGATGAAGTATTTCGTTATATGTAGCTGTCTCCTCAGAATTGTTACTGCACATGATTTTAGCTGGGAAACAGAAGGTTTTTTAAGTTTCAAGACTGTTTCTAATGCTTGCATGAATAAGTACTAAAAAATATGAAAGGACTGCAGAACAATCTGCTACACGTTTTCTTTTCCACCCTATTTTTCTAGCTGTTAACCAAGTGTTTTGCCCTTCACAAAATACTTTTTAAAGAGAATAGTACCACTAAACTTCTAACAACTTCACTTTGCAAATTCAAAGCTGCAGTTACAGGACGTATTTTGTTTTACTGCAATCTTTTTATATTTTTATGCCTATTCATGCAAGTGTGCTTAAAAACAGAAATAAAACAGGAATTGCCTTCAGAGTTTAACAATGCTGCTTTCTCTGAAAACTAGCTTTTAAAGGAAAACTTGCTTTGTGAACAATTAGAAAAAAAATACCTCGGAAAGCAGGCTGCCACCTCCTTTCTTGTCTTGATTTGTTAGATGGATGTTCTGACGTATGTGCCTTGCATCTGCAGACTCCTGTTCCTTTTACAGCCAAACTTAACCTTTCTAAACCAACAGTTAATAAGATATCACATTTCAAAATACTGGCATTTTAAATACTACAGCTGTGATTTTAGAAAGGCGTTTTGTCAACAGTATCCACCTCCAGGGACTAGTATTTAATGTCTTTCATGGTGAATTAGTTCTCCGTTTACCTTCAAATTAAACAGTAGTTTCTCTTCAGTAACAAGTAACAGTAACTGCCTCTTTCCAGTAACAAAAAAGCAGTACTCAAGCCAAAGCCTATCCGTTGCTCTGTAACAATCTGGTCAAGGTAAGCTTCAGTGAAACCACGTGAATTGTGGCTGTTTGGTTTTATGGTCCAAAGGGGAAAATAGAGAACTGGATGTATTGGACTCCCTCCGACAAGCTCATTTTGTGGTGTGAGGCAAAAATCAGCTGTGTTCCCAAATGTACGTAATGAAGTACCAATGAAGCAAAGTCATTTACCCTTTCAGTGTTTTTAATGCTAAATGCATCCAGACTTATGGATGACTGTCTTGTGGCAGGTTTGAACTTGTGACCTACAAGGGCAAAAAATCTCTCCGTACAAATCCCTTAAGCTGTAAAAGCCATTTGGATTGTCCTATAAACCCCCTAAACTATCAACATCCTCCTCCTCTCTAAAGAGCTTTTTTTTTCTTTTTTTAATATGATGCAATCTTGCTTTTATTTTACATTCTGAGGTGACTTTAGCTAGACAACTCTTCAAAAATTATTTCTACTCTGTTGTCTGTTCATCATGACTCAGAATACTTGAACATGTGCTCGAGTGCCCTGCTAAGATAAAATTGTTCGTTGAAAATCCTAAAGGAGAAATTTTGGAGCAGCTGTGAATGATGACCTCAAAAATATCAAGGCTTTTGAAAAATTCTGACAAGCCAGTGTAACTTGTCTGGCTTGAACAAGCCAGTTCCTTGGTCAGTGCTTGGAAGGCTTGGATCCCTTCTTAGTGCAGCTGAAATTCCAGGCTTCAGAAATGTTGTTTGCTTGTTTCCTAATTA